CCTTTTTACACCCAGCAACTAAAGGTATAATTCCTGACACATTGGGGGCCTTCATCCATGCTATTGGGACAGGGCTATATAGACTGTTACATCTTTTGAATTTCATTTTGGCATCTATATGTATAAAAGCCTAAGCAACTGATGACCGACTATGAGGATCGACTGGTTGCTATGATGCGCACTGACCACCAGGGGGCAGACGCTCAATGCAGGAGCTGCTCCCTGGTGGTCAGTGCGCTCCTATAGGGGGAGCTCCGCTTAGCCACAAGCCGGGCGGATGGATGGTTGCGAACGCAGTGGTGGCGGTGGAAGCCTCTCCCGCCTCCTCCACAGTGCTAAGAATGTCCGACTGCGGCTTAGGCCCGCGCCCTGCACCATCAATCGGACATCCCCCAAGGGCTCCCGAGCTGCCAAAGGGATGTCTGACTGCCAGCTTAGGCCTGATCTCCCAGGGAGCGGGCCTAAGCCAGCAGGTGGACATCCCTCACGCAGTCCCGGACTGCAAGAGGGCGCAGGCCGGGCTGAGGGACCTCCCTGAGTCCATGAATTTTCATGCATCAGGCCTCTAGTAAATAATAATAGAAAAGCGCAATATGCAAAGTGTCCCCTCGGGGGTTCAATCGCTTGCTATGACGTGCGCCAGGGGGCAGCGCAGAATGAAGGCCCCGGCTGGCAGCTGGGGAACGGAGGCCCCCGCCGGCAGCTGGCAGCTGCTAGGGACCCTACCCGTGCATGAATTTTTGCACTGGGCCTCTAGTACTATAAATATTAAGTAACTAAAAATAGATTAAAAATTTAAATGTAAGAGCTAAAACTCTAATATTCTTTGAAGAAAACATAGGCATTAATCTTTGTGACCTTGAATTAGACATGGTTTCTTAAATGACACCTAGACAACAAACATTTAAATAAATTGGATTTCACTAAATTAAAAACATTTGTGCTTTAAAGGATACCATCAAAAACATGAAGACAACCCATAGTATGAAAGAAGTTTTTGCAAATCATATATATAAGAAACTTATATCCAAAATAAAGAACTGTTTAAATCAACAATAGACAATAAAAAAAAAAATGGGTGAAAGATCTAAATAGATATTTCTCCAAACAAGATATACAAATGGCCAAGAAGCCCATGAAAAGATGATCAACATGATTTAGCCATCAGGAAAATGCAAATCAAAACTACAATGAGATTACCACTTCACACCCATTTAAGATGGCTATAATCAAAAAGTTAGATAACAACAACTATTGGCAAAGATGTACAGAATTGGAAAACTTGTACACTGTTGGCAAGAATGTAAAATGGTACAGCTGCTTTGGAAAACAATCAAGCAGTTCCTCCAAAGGTTAAACACAGAGGTTAAAAAAGGTTTAAGCCATGATAGAGCAATTCTACTTCTATAAATACTAGTAAACCCAAGAGAAATGAAAAATATGTCTACTCAAAAACTTGTATATGAATGTTCATAATTCATAACAGCATTATTCATAATAGTCAGAAAGTGGAAACAACCCAAATGATCATCAACTGATGAATGAATAAACAAAATGTGATATGTTAATACAATGGAATATTATTTGGCAAAAACACGGAATAAAATACAAATACACCCTATAATCTTTCATGAACCTTGAAAACACTATGCTAAGTGAAAGAAGCTAATCACAAAAAAAATACTGTATGGCTGCATTATTGTATGAAATATCTGAAACAGGCAAATCTGCAGTGATAGGAAAAAAATGGGTGAAAGATCTAAATAGATATTTCTCCAAACAAGATATACAAATGGCCAAGAAGCCAATATTGGTTGCCTAGGGTTTCAGGTAAGTTGGAGTGATAAGAGGATGACTGTTAAAGGACATGGGGTTTCTTTTGGAAGTGATGAAAATATTCTAAAATTGATGGTGGTGATGGTTGGATGACTGTGAATATACGAAAAATCACCAAAGTGTATACTTTAAATGGGTGAATGGTACAGTAGCCTATCTAATAAAAGAGTAATATGTAAATTGACCGTGACTCTGTGACAAAGATGGCGGCACCCTGGCGGTGTCACCCAGGCAACGTGAGCCCAGCGTCCACGTCCCAGCCACGTGGAGGGAGGGGAGGGACCCCAGCTGCTTGGAGGGACGCTGGTATCATTGCAGGCCGGGCTGAGGGCCTTCCTTCCCCTCCCCTCCCCCCCCTCCCCCCGGTGCACGAATTTCATGCACCGGGCCTCCAGTTTGAATTATATCTCAATAAATGTTACATTTCTTGGGCGGGAGCAGGGGAAGCTCTGGAAAAGACTTCCATTCCCAGCAAACACCTGTGTCCTTCTATCCAATTCCTACATCATAAATTGTGTTTCTCTTTAGCTTAACTGCCAGGAATTCATCACTAAATTTTGTGGTCACATGAGCTTTACTTTACCTAAATTTTCTAGTTCAGTTTCCGTTACCACCATGCCTTACTTTCATTGTTTTAAGTGTTCTATTTTAAGCCTTTTCATTCTTGGAAGCAGGCAGAATATGATGGTTGGCTTGAACTCTGAAAACTTTAAGAATATGTTTAGATATTCATGACCCCTACCAAGGTAAAGAAACCTTAAGAAGTTCAGCTTGAGCTCTACCAATGAATTTTCTTCACCTGAACTACCACCAAGAAGTGAAGCAATCAGAATTATGAGTTTTGCCGCAGGACTTTTATTCTCTAAATTACATTATCTATACAGAACACTGTAATGCAATAATACACATTTACCATATATTTACCACACAAGATAATATTTAAAATGGAACAAAAATAATAGGTCCCTACTGAAATTTAACTTTACTTTGGGAAATTTATTCCTACCCTAACAGGTGAGGATGTCTCCTCTGTATTTCGTTTCTGAGATTCAGTGTCCATATCTTGGCGCTTGTTCTTCATTCTTTCTCTAAGATCCCCTGTAGGTCTTTCTGGTGACCTTTAAAAACAAAACAGCAAAAATCTATATTTATACATCATTTTATAAGAATATATTTGCAGAAATAAACTCAAAAATCTCAATATAATTTTTCTAACTGCCCATGGCTCCTAAATTTCAGAAAAAATAATTAATTTGTTTCAGTTTTAATATTAACATAAATAATATGAGCATCATTTAGCAAATTTTCTCCCAATACCAATCCAATGTATACTTTAAAATTCCATGGGGGAGCAGGTACTGGTAACATGAATAAGAAACTATGTCTGAGCTGAGAAAAAAACAATTAGTAATTAGCAATTTAGTCACATAAATATACAAGGTGTAACAAAAGTAAGTTTACAGTTGTTCATATGGAAAATACAATAACTAATAAATAATAAGAGTAAACTCTGTGTTTTGAGTACTCACAACCATAAACCTACTTTTGCCCCACCCTGTATTAGTTATATTTGAAAACAAAAAAGTAGGAAGATAAAGTTTTAAGCCATGGCACTGCAAAATTAATCTAAAAGCACCAGTATAATCATCTACACATGTATTTAGTTGGATGCAACATCAACAACTGAGAAAATACTTTATGCCTCTTAAGAATCAAAGTTAAATAGAGAAGTTTTGTGTAATTCTTATAACTTTTCTTAAATTTAAAATTATTTCATAATAAAAATGATTCATAGCAATATTTTAGACAGTGATTTTATATTCTGCTCTGGATTAAAAAAAAATACCCACATTTATATTCAACACTGGCAAGGCTTTATAATTTAAATTGGAAATTTGATAAATGGCTGTTCAGTTATTTCACACCATTACTAAGTAAGAAAAACAAAACAGATAGAAAACATACTGCCTTTAAAGAATATTCCCAGAACATTTAAAAAAGAAGGCAATATAGGTTAAAGAATATGCCCCTCTTTAGCCATTAAAAAATATTATATATAATACCTTCAAACGATAAATACAAATCACATAAATATTCACATCTATTTCAAGTAACAGTTGATCGATCATATCAATTCCTTTAATGTATCAATCATTAATACAAATCACAGTGAAGAAATAATTTGTTAACTCACTTTAAAGGATCTAATTAACATTTACATGTTTATTTTATAGATCTATATTAAATATTTTAACAGTTAAAGCTGAACTTAAAATGGAACTCCTTAGCCCTAACCAGTTTGGCTCAGTGGAAAGTGTCAGCCTGCCGACTGAAGGGTCCCAGGTTCCATTCTGGTCAAGGGCACATGCCTAGGTCGTGGGCTCGTTCCCCAGTAGGGGTCATGCTTGTCATCATTGATGTTTCTATCTCTCTATTCCTCTCTGAAATATCAATAATATATATATATATATATTTAAAAAATGGAATTCTTATTATAAACCAGTACATAAATCCTTTCAATTATAATTATGATGTACATGTAAATTTTTGTCTTAGTTTTCTGCATATAACAAAAATTTATTGTAAATCTGTTTCTATCCTAAACAGCACCTAACAGAGTAATCTATATACCATGAATGCTCAATAAATGACTTAAACGTCTTTTGAGTAAATAAGCATTATCTGAAATACATTGCTTTTCTTTCCTTCTTTGAATCACATTATGACTATATTTCTCTCCTACAAATAAAGTAAATTACACAAATACAAGTTATCAGATAAAAGAAAAAATACACAAAAGAGCAAAATTATAACAAAAATTCCTTTATGCTAAGTCTAGTATGATACTATTTTTTTCCACTTTAGACAAATTTTTTTGCCATTTTCCTCAAAACTGTCTCCTGTATAAAATTTTTCAGTTAGTAATAAATTTCAAAGATGAATTAAAGCATTATTAAAAGTGTAGTAATAATATAAACAAAACAATATTACTGAAATAGTTTACCAGGTGTTTACACAGGTAATTAAACTTATGAAGACTAATCTCCTCTCATTAACAGAAAAGACAAATGACAATCTAAACACAAATAAGACAATATTCAGCATCACAAGTAAACGAAAATATAAAACATTTAAGTGAACAGAAAGTTTGAATTTTAAATTCAAGTAAACTGGAGCCCTAGCCAGTTTGGCTCAGTGGACAGAGCATCAGCCTGTGGACTGAAGGGTCCAGGGTTAAATACCGGTCAAGGGCACATGCCCAGACTGTGGGCTCGATCCCCAGGAGGCAGCCAATCAATGATTTTCTCTCATCACTGATGTTTCTCTCTCCCTCTCCCTTCCTCTCTGAAATCAATAAAATATATTAAATGCAATTAAACTTGAAAACCTATATATACACAAAAAAATCTCCAAATCCTAATGTTCAATTTTTATACTATTCCTATAGCCAAAGTAATCAGTACACCCAATTTTAAAACTAGATAAATTATTTCTTTACCAATCAAGTTTAAACTTTTTGTGACAATCTTTACATAAGCTATATCTTTAAACACCAACCATAATAAAATCATCATAAGGAAACCAAAAGAAAATTAAAAGGTCTTTATTAGGAAAGATTAATTTAGTACTGCCATTATTAAAGGCATATGATATTCAAAATAGCTCCATTTATCATTATATAAATACATATTTTCATTTACATTAATACACTGCGATAAGGATTTGGCAAATGCATTTTAACCTTCAGAGTTCGCATTAGATTATCTTTTGTCATCAAGATTCAAATTTAGAACATCTTAAAAGCTAAAATTATATACTATTTAAATTTCAATAAAATTCTGTCTTAGCAGCAGTTTAATACATAATTGGGAGGGTTAAGTAAGCCACACATATATTATAAAAAAGATCTCTTGTCAAAACAAGTAAATATTGAACAAAGAAGTTAACTTTAAAGCAAATATTTTATTAGCCTTGAATTTAAAACTAAAAAGATCTTATCTGTCTTTGCTTAATTACATCAACAAGACTACTACCGAGATAGAAAATCTGATCAAATATATGGTTTTATTTCAGATTTTTATACTAGATAAACTATAAAAGCCATTTTCTAATTGTATATGAACAATTCAAAATTCTCAATTTACCTTCTGTAATTGCTGCTATAACCTTTACCACGGGGTGAAAGGCCATGTACGAATCTACATGTGTTTCCATAGAGGCAGTTGCCAGTCTTCAGCCAGTTACGGCACTGTGTCTAAGAGACAGATATTACTATGTAAATTTCATATTTATTTCTGGACAAAAGATGCTAGTGGAAAATTAAAATAAATGCTATCAAAATTGCAGCTAACCTGAGATATACATTACTCCCCAAATAATAAAACATCAGAGAAAAAACCCCCACAAACAAACCCACAAACCCTATCACTCTTTTCAAGTCTCTTAATGAAACACATTTTTTAAAAATGTACTGAACCAACATACCTACAACCAGTTCACCTTTATTATACAAAATCGGTATTTTAAAAAAAGGATTGCAAGAGAACCCCTGAGACTACAAGTGACAACTCACCTCTGCTGTACTGCCAGTGCTGGGTCCAAGTCTCTCAAAGACACTGGGTCTTCGGGATGTGCTTTCAGATATGGTCTTCGTATTTTCCACTGTGACTTTCCTTCTAATTTTTGACATTTTGTACTACTTTAACAAAAAAATGAGAAAGAGGGGGAGAGGGAGAGGGAGAGGGAGAGGGAGAGGAAGAGAGAGAGGGGCTCAACAGTAGAATTCTTTAATTTAAAATAACTGAGCACATACCACATAACTTGCAAGTAGATAACACTGTAAAATCATAAGGGATTTTTCTCAGAACAAAAAGAAAGGAATAGGAGGTCACAAGTAAATATAGGTAAATAGAAGTTATCTTCTAAGACACAGGTCAGGGCACATGCCCAGGTTTCAGGCTTGATCCCCAGTGGGGGGCGTGCAGGAGGCAGCCGACCAATGATTCTCTCTCATCACTGATGTTTCTATCTCTCTCCCTCTCCCCTCCTCCCTATTTTCCAAGTAAAAAAACTATACAGTGAACTCTACATCATGTACTCAGTATTATAAGACAATCTTTGATTTAACTTTTCTTGGGCTTATTCTCAGGCCAAATGTGAATTTACAGAGGAAAAGTTGGTAAAATTTCGTATGTCCATTTGTTTTACTGACCATAAAGAACTAAAGCCAGTATGAGTGGAGATGAGAAATATGTAGAAAATGTAGAGCTTTGATTAACCAAGAAAACCACTATTTTATAATATAAAAATGAGCAGAATTTGAAAAGTACATATGTAATAAAGTATATAGGAAAAGTTAGAACAAAAACACATTTTAAAGTTTCATTTTGTTACTATAAATATTAACATATAGATTACATTGTAATGCTCACTCACTAATTTTAAAAACATGTTAATAAACTTAAAATCACGTGAGTTTTAAAATTTCCATATTAGCTATTATTAATATGTGGAATGTGGAAAAGAGGCACCCATCCCACCATATTGCTTCAAAGAAAACTAACCCTAACCTTGCAATTTTTTCTCTCCACTATCAACTGAATGGTTAGTTCTGTCCTCAAAACGCCTATTCCCAACATGCCCTCATCCCCAATACACTCTCCTCCAATGGTGCCACAGTTGGGACAACAAGCTATTTATTATTATACTTGTAACAATGGTCATCTGCCAGCTTCTTGTTTTTCTGAGGGCTCCCGGTATTAACTCTTGTTTCTCCAAGCCTGTGGCTTGGATCAGCACTGTTCTCCTTCCCTGACCTGCTGGAAAGTATACTCTCCCAGCTTCTCTTCAATTCCAGATCCCTAACATAAGCTTTAAAGATTTCAAAGGGTTTGGACTGCTATGTTAAAGACTATCAAGTGATGACTAATAATTCCATATTGCCCCTCTCCTTGTATTCTTGCCACTAAAAAAGTTCCTTCACACAGAGACAAAGTTGCTTTTACGGTGACGTAAGAACATCTCAAGATTCACCTACATAGTGCTTATCCCAGGAATTTTACTTCGAGCTACTGTTGAGTCCACCAGCTTAAAGAAGACTAGCAATGAATTAAAGGTGTGTTCTCTTTTCTCAGAGTCCAACAGTGTCAGGCCTTGCCCCAATGAGTTTGAGTACCAGGTCTAGGTTACAGGGAGATCCTAGACTAAAAAATAATAAAAAGTAAATCTGAAGCAAAGGGGAAAAAGTAGGAACCAGAGTTTTCTAAATGAAAGAAAGAGGAATTCTTCTGATCATCTAAGAACTTTTATCGGTAGTCAACAAGTTATCTAAATATTACTGAATATTACTAAATATTACTGAAACATTCATGATTTTGCATAGATAAATGCTTTATGCTTGCAAATACAAAAAATAACATTTGATATCCAATTTTCTAAATATGTACACATAATCTAAAGTACACCAGAAAAGCATTTACTCATATATAGTAATTAATGAGTTTAAAACTGTTACCAACTAGTGTGACTTAATTAGGATTTTCAATCTAAAAATTTGGGCCTACAAAGGAAGATAAATACAATAGAATAAAATGCAAATCTGACTGGGGAAGAGTGGCTTTTTCAATTAAAATCTACAAAGGCTTCAATAAGAAGTAAATGTTTCAGAGTATAAGCAAAATTAGAAACAATAAACTTTTTAAAAATGCAAATATTAAAGTCTTCCCTAGCTCAGAGTCTTTGAAGGTTTTCTTTCTAGTTTTGTTTTCAAGTTTTTCTTTGGTTTTAAGTTGCCACCACACTTCACATTGTATCTTTCCCAAACAGCAGCATTATTAAAACCAGAGTGACACTTGTGAGTCTATCGTTACAGTATTTTCCTATTTCTCCTCTTCGTTTTCAGAGTTAATAAAAGATCAGATGTCATTATATTTTTTCAATTGAAAAAGAAAAATAGGGGATAAAGTTTGAATCATTAAGACACAATAAAGCAGTCTCAATAAATAGGAACTGTCCGCCCCTCAAAAACTTACAAACATCATGTTTGTAATTCGTACTATAAAATTTGACTGAGAAAGAAAAAACATACAGCGGCCTCTTTGTAAACAATTATTTCTGAGGTCTAATGACTGAAATCTTGTCAATAAAACATGTATCAGTTCTAGTATGCTCTCTTCAATCCTTAACTACATCTTTTTGAGGTCTCATCTTCCAGTAGCAAAAATGAAAGCATAATCTGATAAGCAGCAGCATAATATTAGTAAATCGTCAAATAATTAAACAATTAAAACTACATAAATGTACTAATTGGTAGTAGAATAAATCCCTATCTACTGCAGTTCTAAAATAAAAAGGGTTATGTTAAAAAGCAGGCCTCTTCACATTTATATTTCATATTTTTGAAAGAAAAAATTGAGATTTATTTGATGCATAGTCTGGTACAATTTTTTAAAAAGAACTTTCTAAAACAATCTTGCACATCACTTATATGTAAATAGACTAAAACAATTCCAAACTGAATTGTGAACAGAAGTGACCAAACTAGATCTTGCTATCCACACAAACATCATGCAGCCAAAGAGTAAGTTTGGATCATAGTACTGGTCTAGTGTTGTCTCATTGGACATAATTTACCACTGGCCAGCCTCCAAATTCCCATACAGAACAAAAACAAAAACAAAAACAAAACAACAACAACAAAAAGAAGTGACCAAACTAACCTGACTACACAGGTATTAACAAGTCAATAAAACTGCTGCACTGTGCAGAAAAAAATAATTTGTTAAAAAGACTATGCACAGAAAAATCCCTTTCTGGTAACTAAAGAGAAGTAAACAGAACTGCAAAATACAAAAGAAACAAACAAAAACACAAAGAAAAGAATAAAAGGCACTTTATATATCAACACAAGTTAGCGTTTCAACTGCTACTAAGTATCTGCTGAAACAGTTCTAACTCTATATGACAAGGAGAGAGGTTTGGGGGAGATGGGGAAAGTAATGAGCACTGAAAACCATTTCTTCAAGTACCTGTAAGTTAAACAACTTTGCTTTCTATATGTAAATGCAATGCATATTATAATACAAAGTAACACTGATCATTTGTTCCTGAGTTAAAATAACATCCGCCCGCCCGCAGGTTTACAGATATGGAAATTGATGGCTTTGCATATCTTAAAATATGCAATCAATGTTCATTTCAAATCACCAATAATTAGGAAGCCAGTAAAAGTCATGTATTCGATAAAACTGGATCCTACCAGATCCAATCTTAGTTTCCCTTGCAACTATTTTTACAGACACAATTTACTAAGTACCTGCATCAACATTCAGTATCTTGTTGAAATTGTCATGTTACAATCTAAATACTTCATTAAGAAATTGGAAATTAATTGAAAATCTATAGATTTTGTCCACAAAATCCTCCAAAATACTTTCGCTTAGGTACTAAAGACAGTAATTTCAAAAATTACAGAACGAGACTGCTAATTATGCCTGGATTGTACTGCATAAACATATTTAGATTTACTGCAACAGTATCATGAACTTTGAAAACTTGAGGTGTGAAGATCTTTTCTAAATTTTGTAAATTATTTTTTTTCACAAAACCAAAAACCTGAAGAGACTGCATATGCCCATAATTTTCAAAGTAGTTCAAATTATCTGAAAACCTCGCAAAATAACTGAATAGCTTGACACTCCACTCCACAGACAAGATCCTACCAATATCATTTAAGTACTATCAACTCCAAATAATCCTGCAGCCACATGAAGTATTTTGCCATACATCAGATAACGCCAAACACCAGGCCCTCTCCTTTCATTCTTCCGGGTTTCTGCCATGTAGTTGCCAAAACTGCCCACCTAGGGAATGTGATGATCAAGTAGCACTCCTCAACTCCGAGGGCTACGTCATTAAGTTCCCAGTGCCGGGAAGTAAGACCAAATACAACCAAAGGAAGACACTTTCTCCCAGTAAGTGTGGAATGCGTAAAAAAAGGGGGGGGGGGCTTCTAAATCTAAAACTATATTCCTACAGCCTTCCACTGCATCCAAAAGCGAATACCACGCAAGGGCTCCCAAGCCCACCTCAAATACGGCCCTTACGTCTGAATCCACCTGCTCCTCAGACAAACTCACCAGGATCAGAACGAGGGCGGGAAAGGAGACCTGAGCACAGGAGCCTTTGCAGAACGGAGAGAAGGATGCTCAAGGGGCTCAAAATCGCGGCTCCGGGCCTTCCCAGCCCGGGTCCGCCCGACGCCTTCCCCCGATACCCGCACCAAAGCACACAATTCAAGCTTACCTCCTCCCCGAGCTCCCTTCGCAGGCACAGTCGGGAGGCGTCGCCGCCGCCACCGCTCTGAGGAGCAGGGGATGCGACTCTCTGTCCCCGCGCGTGGCCCCGGGAGGACAACAAGAAGGAGATGCGCGCGCGGCTCCCGGGAACCGGCCCTCGGCTGGCGAGGGGGCCCGGGGGCGGCTGAGAAGCGGAACTCGCCAGCCGCTTCGCCAGTATCAAGCGAGAGGGGGACGTAGAGAGAAAAACAACAAAGAGACGCTGGGAAGTAAGAAAAGCCAACGAAACCACTTCCAGGCACCAGAAGGATCGCCTCAAAATGCCGCCGGAAGTCGAGGGTTTGCCCTGTTTCTACAGGCCGAGGCAGCTTCCGGCTGCCAAATTAGACGTCAGCACGCAGGCACCGCCCCTTCGTGGACACGCCCTCCACCGCCCCCGGAGGCGGCAGTGGGAATTGGCTGGTCTTGGTGAGAGATTCCTGGAGAAGATCTCAAATTCCCAATTAAAAGTGATTTTAAGCCCAGCCGGCCTGGCTCGGTGATTGAGCGTCAAACTGTGAACCAGGAAGTCAGGGTCCATTCACGGTCAGGGCACGTGCCTGGGTTGAGGGCTGGATCCCCAGTGCGGGTGTGCAGGAGGCAGCCGATCAATGATTCTGAATCATTAATTCCCACCCCCAACCCCCATTCCTCTCTGAAATCAATAAAAATATTGTAAGAGGGAGAGTTTTGTTCTTTTATTACATTACTTCTTAGTTCTTGCAATAAGCTGTTGTAAATGTGGTAAAGGCCACATTTGTTGTAGAAAGTAAGTACATTCATTGGCTCTACAAAGTTTAATGAACGCTGAGCTGGAGCAACAGGAAGCGTTTATTCTGTTATTGACACTCCACTTTCTGGGACATGGTCTGTCTATTCCTGTGGAGCGAACGGAAGCACGGCTGTGTTTTTAAAGGCACAAGCAGAATTTGTTGAAATTAAAGCAAAAATATTTAAGGTATTTCTGGCAACCTTTTTTTTTCATGTTTAGGGTCTAATCATTTGCATTAAACTAGTTATTAAAATTATTTGAGGTGGTTATGTTAGGGGCGGAAATAGACTATTGGGGACTAGCTATAATTATAAAAAAATATTAATCATGCTCTGTTAACCATGATTTTTCTATTCTGATGAGAGAAAGCACGTTTTAACCTGGCTGAAAGATGTAGTTCCTGGGATATGAGAGCCTACATCAGAATGCAGTTCATTTTCCTTCTTCCAGAACTACCTATTATGGAAAAATTAAACAATTTAGTCCTAGTCCCTGGACGACCCCCAAACCCACATGGCCTGTAACCATTATGCCTTGCCTACTTTCCTACATTATCTTTGTCCCTCTACCCAATGTAAGCAGCTGGCTTGTGGGGAGGGGCAGAGCAGATTTTTGTGGATGACCTGCTGCTCTCCCTCTCCCATGCTGGCGGCTTTATTGGAATAAACACTCATATGATTCAACCCTGTCTCTTCTCAATTAGCTCAAGTAGTGACAAGCAGCCAGGGTCCATTGGTTGTCTGGTTACAGTTAGTCAAACATCATGAATCAAAGAAAAAAACTCACCGAAACTGGTTTGGCTCAGTGGATAGAGCATCGGCCTGCAGACTGAAGGGTCCCAGGTTCGATTCCGGTCAAGGGCATGTGCCTTGGTTGCGGGCACATCCCCAGTGGGAGATGTGCAGGAGGCAGCTGATCGATGTTTCTCTCTCATCCATGTTTCTGACACTCTGTCTCTCTCCCTTCCTCTCTGTAAAAAATCAATAAAATATATATTTTTTAAAAAAACTCAGTACCTAGCTTCTTACAAGTTCAACAAAAGGGGAAAATGTGAATTTATTTATTACACTTATTTTGTTCTCTGACAAAACCAAGGAATAAGAAAACCCTTTACCAAAACTATTGATAAAACTTAAAAAAGAAACTGGTACAATGATTTGGTCTTGGAATTGGTAAATTAAAATGTGAGAACAGAGTGTAAAAATCAAGAGCATTAAGCATTCCTGATGGCATGCCAAGCTATTTTAGAGAGAGCAGCAAGAGCTTCTCTGCAAGTAGGTTTGATGAAATGCTTTGGCAGCAAGAATCCATATTTGCCTGTATCTCAAAGTTCAATTGTAAAGGAATATTTGATGCCCAAGTCATAGATCCAGTCACCTGGACCTCCAGGAGCTAGATCTATAAGAAGAAAAAAGAAATTACTTTTCAAAATACAGATGTTTCAAATTAACTAACAAAATGTGTTTTTTTCCCTAAAAATGAAAATTGCTTTGCATTTTTCTGATTAGTAAGTAATATACATTGTTGGTAAAAACAATGGAGATTGATGGAAAACAGGTTAAGGAAGAAAATTAGAATTATCCATAACTTTACCAAGAAGAGATAATCACCATTAATGTCTTAGTGACTTTTTTTTTTGTAGTGAAGGCTATAACCAAAAAAAATTTAACTTAATTTTAAAAATTTTCTAAGTTAATATTTTTCCTACATACATAAGATCATTCTATACATTCTGTTTTGTAACATTTCTAAACATGATATCTGTCGTGACCAGTTTTATGTATTGATGAGCTCAAATAATGTTTAACTCATAGCATTGCACTGTAAAGCTGGATGTAAATTAATTTAAATACCTATTTTTTTAAAAAATATATTTTATTGATTTTTTTACAGAGAGGAAGGGAGAGAGATAGAGAGTCAGAAACATTGATGAGAGAGAAACATCGATCAGCCGCCTACTGCACACCTCCTACCGGGAATGTGCCCGCAACCAAAGTACATGCCCTTTGACCGGAATGGAACCCGGGACCCCTCAGTCCACAGGCCGACGCTCTATCCACTGAGCCAAACTGGTTACAGCTTAAATACCTATTTGAGACCTTTAGATTTTTCTAATTTCTAAGTAATATAAACAATGTTACAATGAACAACCTTGTTTATACATAACTGCTTCTTTGTTCTTTAGAATATTATTTCCTAGAAGTAGATTGCTAGCATGAGGGTATGTACTTTTTACAATTATTCTACATGTTGTCAAATAGTTTCAAAAGGTTTGCCAATTTATACCTGCACTAGCAAGGTATGAATATGCCCACTTCTCCCTCCCACATTATCCATGAAATTTTTCATTTATTGCAATTTTATGGGTGAAAAAATAATATCAAATTGTCTTGCTTTATGTTTTTTTTATTGCCATTGAATTGAATGTTTTGTTTGATACATTTATTGTCTATGTTTATATATATATATATACATATATATGTATATATATATATATTATTAATTCCTACTCATTTCTATTTTGTTCAATTTATAGATTGTTTATAAAAGCAACATTGGTGTTATCCTTGTGTGTAATATGGGGAGAAGTTTTTCTTCTTATTTGGTTATTTAGCTTTCAACTTGGTTTATGACTGGATTTTTATATAAAAATATTTTCTCTATCTGGAATTTATTTTGGAGAAAAATACGTTAGTAATCCAATTATTTTTCTAGGTAACATCAGGTTTCTCAACCCTATTAATTGAATACTCTAACATTCTTAACTGGTTAGAAATGCTTTATTTATGAAATACTACATCTCCTTGTATATTTGAGGTTTTTAATGTATTTTAATATTTGGTTGGGGTGAATTCTCTCTTACTAGTCTTATTTTTCGGAATTCTACAAGCTCTTCTACTAAATGTATTCTTTCAAATGAAGTTCAAAATCATTTAAGTGTTAATTGGGATTTATGCACTAATTAATTTAGAACAACTGACACATTTTTTACATTAATTTCCCACCAAAAAACATGGCAGATTTCTCCTTTTGTTCATCTTCTTTTATGTACACCAGTAAAATTTTCTAGGTTTTTAACATATATAGATTATATGGATTTGTGTGTGTACATGCATATATACATTTAACAATGAATCCACATATATGTATGTAACTATATGTAATATGTGTGCATGTATATATATGTACATATATAAAGGAAGTAGGATCTTTTTTTCATTTTATTTTCTACCTGATTATTTTTGGTATATAAGAAAGTTGTAGAGTTGTGTATATTTAGATCATAGTCAGAAACCTTACTCAACTTTTTAATTGTTACTAATATTTTTTTAAATATTTTATTGATTTTTTACAGAGAGGAAGGAAGAAAGATAGAGAGTTAGAAACATCAATCAGCTGCCTCCTGCACAGCCTCTACTGGGGATGTGCCCGCAACCAAGGTACATGCCCTTGACTGGAATCGAACCTGGGACCCTTCAGTCTGCAAGCTGACACTCTATCCACTGAGCCAAATGTGTTAGGGCTGTTACTAATATTTTTTGTGAATTTTCTACTGTTTTCCATGTAGAAAACCATCCTATGTAATAAAAGGCTAATATGCAAATCAACTGAAGGGCAGAATGACCAGTCTCTATGATGCACACTAACCACCAGGGGGCAGACGCTCAATGCAGGAGCTGCCCCCTGGTGGTCAGTGCGCTCCCATAAGGGGAGCCCCGCTCAGCCAGAAGCTGGGCTCAGGGCTGGCAAACGCAGCAGCAGTGGCAGGAGCCTCCCCCACCTCCACAGCAATGCTAAGGATGTCCGACTGCCAGTTTAGGCCCAACATCCTCCGAGGGCTCCCGGACTTGGAGAGGGCGCAAGCCGGGCTGAGGGACCCCCTCTCTCCAGTGCATGAATTTCATGCACTGGGCCTCTAGTATAATATACAAAGTGATCATTTTTGCTTCTTTCTAATACTTACACTTGAATTAATACAAAGGCGTTTACTGAAACATTGTTTTAATATTGAAAAATATTCATCAACAGTGGATTAATTGTTATTCATTCAGCAAATATTTCTGACAGCCATTATCAATATTTGCTGTTTATTCTAACCATTCTCCTATGCTTACATACACATACACATAGATGTGTCCCGAATAAATGAGTGAATGAATGAATGAATGAGTGGAGATGGACTGATTTCATCATAACAGGAAGTTTGCTCTATAAGTTCCTCTAGCCCTGAGGCACTATGGTCATGCTTTGGGGAACATTAGTAGAGAAGAGCATAAGAATCAAGAAAGCTCTGAATTGTGAAAGGAAGTTGTGGGATTTTTCTGTGACAGAGCAGGGACCCAAGTCAGATAAAGCAGCAATAAATGGATCAGTGACACAAGAGACAGAGATACCACGTGGCCTCAGTTTTTTTCTGAGACAATTTTGGGTTGTTGAGAAGGAAGGGGAAATTTCCTGTCTGGACTTTCTATTAATAGGGCATCTGGTGTGATTATTGTTATGAATGTGTTTTTTATAACCCTGTAGATCATACCTATTTACATGCTATTTCCTCTACCGGGTTTTCCCTCACATCTTTGTTTGGAAGCCACGTATCAGGTAGGTCTCCCAGAATGTCATCTACAGAGAGAGACCTTCCAAAGAACTTTAACCAAATAGCCTCTCTCTCCTGCAGTCATTCTCAAATGCATAAGCCTATTTTATTGTCTTTACTCATCAATGGAATTATACTATATTTTACTATTTAATTACTTATATCCACAATGGAAAAATTTTTATATAAAGGACCAGATAGTAAATATTTTAGGCATTATGGCCAGCATAGTCTATGTCATAACTACTCAACTTTAGTGTCATGAAATTATCATAGACCACAGAAAAATGAATGATTGACACTGAAATTTGAATTTCATATACTTTTCAAAGGTCTCAAAATCTTGTTCTTCTTTTGTTTTGTTTTTTAATCATTAAAAAAGCTGAAAAATAATTTTTAGCTTTCCGGCTATACAAAAACAAGCAGTGGGCTGATATGACCTGCGGGCCATGATTTGCTGATTCTTGGTTACAGGTTTATTTTCTGTTCCTCTTTTCTAATCTCCCCCTCCAGCTTGAAAAAAGTAAAATAATTGTCTGTTATCCCACTGTACCTACAAAGGAATCCCTCAACAAATATTTAGAATATTTGTTAAGAGTTTGCCACATACATATTCTTGTCACTGTGATAGAAACCAAAGACATTCAACTATAGTGTACTATACTCTAGGGCACAGACTGTCAATAAAAGGCAACTAATGTAATGGTTATACACTAGATGTGTATAGTGTTCAACCTGCACAACCTTACAGGGTGGCCTTGGACTGCTTACATATTCTTTTCACCCTTTATTACCTTTTCTGCTTCACTCAACTAGTGTGATGCCATTTCTATAATCCCTACTCTAGAGCAATGAGCATATTTCCTAAATAGAATTTTGTTTTCTTTTTAAATATTCACTTGTTAATATAGCTTGTTCAGTGCTGTCATAGCTATTATGCTTCCATTTGTAATTGTTAACTATATTTCAAAGGCAAACAACTTGAGGCTATCCTATTCCTAGATAAAATTATCACCAATTGTTTTACATGTGACCTTGTTTAAAGATTCCATTTAGAAAAATTAAATCTATACAGAAAAACCAAACACAGATTTTTAAAAATATCTCAGTTTTCTAAGATCTTAAGAAATACTTACATAAACTTTCTGAGCCACTGCCATATGTATATCTGGTATCATTACTAATATTCTCAAAAACCTGGGCTGCTTCACTGGCCAGTAGATACTGAAATCAATAGAATATGAAATTTCAGTTAATGTAAAACTTTAAAACAGGACAGGTGGAAGTTTCTAAAAAATTCAATCATATATTAATTGACTCAGAGTATATACATGAATAAATATAGAGTAGGATGGTAGTGGTCAGGAGCTGGGGGTGGGAGGAATGGGGAGATGTTGGTCAAAGGATACAAACTTCCAATTGTAAGATGAAATAGCCTTGGGGATCTAATATACAGCATAGTGACTATAGTTAACAATATTGTCTATATACTTGAAAGTTGCGTAAAGAGTAGATCTTACATGTCCTCACAACAAAAGAAAAAAATGTAGTTATGTGAGATGATAGATGTATTAACTCACTTTTTTGTGGTAATCATTTCACATATATGTGTGTCAAATCATCACATTTTACACCTTAAACTTACATACTTTTATATGTCAGTTGTGTCTCAATAAATTTGGAAAAAACTGTATGTATGAAAAAAATCTGCATTTACCCAAAGGTAAATCAAGAAGAATAAATTAACTTCAAAAAAATCTGTTTTGCTTTATGGAAATCACAATTGAGTGACTCTAACTGTAAACTCTTATAATACCTTGAAAATTGTGTTTAACTTGAAGAAAAAAATAATTCTCATCAGCCTTTTATAGGAATTTATTAACTTTATAAAATGAAGTATAACTATATTTCAAAGGCAAACAACTTGAGGCTATCCTATTCCTAGATAAAATTATCACCAAACTTTAAATCCAAGTTCTCTAAACAATATTATACCTAAGTGTGCCTGATTCCCTTCTCATCCTTCTCAGAAACTTTATTTTAGTCTTGAGTAAAATGTCTAGTAACTCCCTAAGACTCATCCAATAAAAAAGTATCTGTTTTTTGGTTATGGAGCAAGATCATAAGTCCCATGTGCCATTATATTTGTTTCTAGAGTACCCAGATCTTTTCTGAAGTTGGATGGTGCTCACTGTCACTCTCTTGAATAACCCAGAGGAATATCAGTGGGTACGATGCTGTGCCATTCCTTTATTCAAAATAAAAATGTGAATGGAACCCCATTGTCTATAGAATGAAATGTAAATTTATTCTGACTTTCAAATAAGCTGACCTCATCTTCACAAGCTGACCTCACCTACTTTCTGATGGTATCACCTTTCACTTTGGCACTCTCACAATCCCCTGAACATACTTCTTGTGGGAAACACCATCTTCTCAGCTTGGAATGTCTTCCGTTCCCTGTCCATATATAGAAATCCCATCTTTCAATATTTGGCTGCAATTGTATCTGTTCCTTGGCATCATAGCATGTTATCATTCCCTTTACTTTTGCTGTATTGTCCACTACATTCCAAAAAAGGGGGAGGGGCTGCTCTTGCCTCAACACTGCAATTGGAGATGTTTCAATAGGACCCTTTGGAGTTAGAGATGTCAGCATGCAACCAATTCCTAATGCTGATACCAAATCGATCAGTGTTGTGCTGAGACTTGATCTGTGGTGGCTATTATAGAGAGCTAGTGACCACAAGGCAGATGCATAATTCCTGAGACTCTCGTCCTGGTCCTTGCTCATATGGCTTCACATGTAGCTCACATCCAGGTGGAATGGTTCCCTCTTGACCTTCAAGGAGTGTGATATTTTTCTTAGAAAGCCCATCAGCTGGACCGAAGGTCATGTCCTCAGTGTAAGACCCCCGTGCTTTACAGTCATGCAATGAACTTTCCCCCTGGGTTGCTCCTCGTAGAGTTAGGCCAAAACCCTAGAGGAGTTTTTAATTCTTGAAACTAAATATTATTTTATCTCTGAAATGCTAATGATAAAAATAATTAAGCAGCAGTTACCAGTTCCTCATGGTCTTTGCTTCTGCTTCTGTTGTAAGTATATGGAAACACTATCTTCTGGGAGTATGAATGCATTGTGATATAAGCTTTAATATGATTGATATTTCTTCTCAAGAAACTAGCCACTGCCTTCACTTCTGGTTCTGACTCAGGGAAAAGGCCACAGTAGATTTCCGAGCACGAGAAACTTGATGCACCCTTCTCTGTTGTGAAATTGATAGACTGAAATTATATTACATTCTATTGTAATTTGTGATTTCCCTTACAATGTATTCGCCTACTATCTATGGTGTAACATTTTTAGAAATGGATTAGGTAGAGCTCTGTAAAGAGTATACTTATGATATCCACTAAATTGTTTATGTCCCGTTAGAAGTTGATTATTCACATGCCCTATAGCAGACCTCTAACAGTTGCTGCCTGGGGGCAACCATCTTGCAACCTTGAGAAAGTCTATTTGAGTCTCAGAAATGCTCACCCTGTCTCCCAACTCCTGCTTATGTGAGAACAATAAACCCCATTTTCTTTAATCCATTGTAAGTTCATTTTTTATGTTGTTTAAAAATTGCTAATTAACAGAGCCCATAAAAGGAAAGACTCATTTGGGAACTCAGAATATACAAGTCTGCTTTCAGTGTTACTTCTAAGTTGCTAAAGTGGCTTAGTAAATAAAATGTGATGGTGATATTTGGTGCCAGAGTAATGTTTAGAGTGTAGCATATATTACTTTGAATGGTAGCCTGCCCCCCAACAATTTCCTTTCTGTCCCTAATTCATAGGGATGGATCCCCAGGGAGCCACCCCGACTGAAAAATCACTCCCCTCTGGAAACAGCTGATTAGATCTGAATTGGGTCCTTAACTTGTGTCCTGAAAATCTGAATTCCCCCACTGATAAATTGAAATAAGATGAAAATACTAGTTTCAGTATAGTTGCTCTTTTGAACAAAGAAAATAACACCGCCAGCTGACACCCACAGAACACATGCTGTATATCAGGAACTCTACAAAGATCTACACAAAATATTTTATTTAAGCCTCAGAGCAACCCTATGAAGCAAATGCTGTTGTTTTAGGAGATGCAATTTGGGCACTCTTGTTGGCAACCATCCTTTACAATAAGATCTATGTTACATATTGTTAATCACCCAATTACTTGATTCTAATCTTGGCTTTAGGTAATTTTTTTTTACCTATCCCTATTTCAATTTCCTTATCTGTTAAATGGGGAAAAAATACATTAAATTAGTATTTAATGAGGATCCCATGAGTTAATGCATATAACGTGTTTTACACAGTACCTGGCAAATACTAAGTATTTACTGTTTCTTGTTGTAGTCATTATCATTATCATTATCATCACTTGTACTGGGACCCAAAACAGCCAGTCTGCATCACAGAGATGAGATGGGGAGAGAAAGGACGCATTGAGCCCCCTACACTGCTCCAGGCCCAGTTCTAGTCTGTTTCTGAGTCCCAGCTGCATCCTTGTCCTTGGGTTCCTTGGGCCACTCCATTAACCTTACAGAGCTTGTCTTTCTTATTTAAGCTTGTTCTGCTTTCTTCCTGTTATTTGTAACAGAAACAACCTTAATGTTCCTTTTCCCACAAAGAAATGTTGTGCTAAACACCCAACGCCTTTCCAAGTATTTTATTTGTTTTAATTTTTAACCAATAATGTGAATGGACAAACCAGTTTTGAGAGTTTGGCTAACTTTGAATACTCCTGGTCTTTTTTTCCTGATATATATTTCTAAAGAATAGAGATTGTGCAGGGTTGGTAAAAAGTTAATTTACAGTTGTTTATATGGAAAATAATACAATAATTGATAAATAATAATAAACTGTTTCATGTATTCATATAATCTATTTTTAAAAAGTTATCTTTATTGTTGAAAATGTTACAGATGTTCCTTTTACCCCATTGACCCTCTCCACCCTGCGTCTGCTCCCTACCCCACCATGTATATCGGGGGTAGACGTAGGAGAGGACATGAAAGAGTTGGAGAGGCTTGTCCTTATATAAATCCTCAGACCAGAGCTGTTTAATAGAAATATAATGTAAGTCATATATTTAAGTTTTCAAGTAATCACTTTTAAAAAATAAACAGGTGAAACTAATTTTAATAATACAGCTTATTTAACACAATATTACAAAGCATTATCATTTCTAACATAACCAATATAAATATTATTCATGAGATATTTTGTTACTTTTTTCACACTAAGACTTCAAAATCTGGTGTGCATTTTACATTCACTGCACATCTCAATTAAACAAGCCACATTTTAAGTGCTCAATGGCCATATGTGACTAGTGGCGACTGTAATGGACAGTGAAGCTTCAGATTCTCATTCTGTGACTCATTCTAGAGATGTCAAACATTTTAGTGGAAAGAGACAGGCAGTCAGGAAACTTGAGTTTGAGACTGCTTTTCCATTAAGCAGGCATGTCAATCTGAATAAGCTGCTTGGTCTTCGTGCTTCATCTGTGCCAAGAGGTACCTGGTCTACCAGGTCCCTTCAAGTTCAAACATTATTTGCTTTGTAGGCAAAGAATCAAGAAATATCAGGAGAGGCAAATTCACAGAGACATAAAATACATTAGAAATACCAGGAGCTGAGAGAGCAGGGAATGAGGAGATATTGCTTAATGATTACAGAGTTTTTGTTTAGGATGATGAAAGTTTTGAAATGAATATAGGTGATGGTTCAACTAGATTGTGAATGTACTTAACATTGCTGAATTGTACACTTAAATGGTTAAAATGACAAATTTTATGTTATATATATTTTACTACAATAAAAAATAATTGAGAGACACTACCATCTCATAGAAAGAGAAATAATGGATTTTTAAAAAGTGCATACCCATTGCAAAAACTTTGTAATTTAACTTACCATTTGAGAAAATGAGTGGATCTGTCTTAGGAAGTTTGAGAACAGAGGTTTTCACAAAGTTCCCCATATTATGGACTGAATTCTGCCCCTCCCCCCCTCGCCATTTTATGTTTGAATTCTAATCCACAATGTGCTGTGTTTGCAAATAGGACCTTTAAGGAAGTAATTAAGTTTTAATGAAGTCATAGAGATAAGTCTTGATCTAATATGGTTGGTGTCCTTATAAGAATAGAGAAGGAGGGAGGGAGGGAGAGAGAGAGAGAGAGAGAGAGAGAGAGCAATGATGCACAACACAGATAAAAGGCCATGGGAGAACATAATGAGAAAGTAGCCATTTGCAAGCCAAAAGGGAGAGGTCTTGGGAAAAACTCATCCTTCTGGTATCTTGATCTTGGACTTCCAGTCTTTCTCTTGTTTAAGCCACCCAGTCTGTGACATTTTGCTATGACAGCCCTAGCAGAGTAAGGTATCCTCAACTTCATTTCCATCTCTAACATACAGACAATTTTAGTACAGAAGAAGGGTAAAATAAACATAAAATGAATAAGTAGGCTTGATATGTCATTTCCTATTAATAAATGAGGTGCTCTAATAGATCCTTTAGTATCATAAAGGCACATTCTAGTTGTAGGGACAAGGAACACAGAAGATTTACTTCTTCTTTCTCACTGGCTTACTTGGAACTCTCTCTTGTCTATATGCATGCTGCTTCTGTTTCTGTTTTTAATTCTTGTGATATGTAATAATATATGGCAACATAATATAATATAGCAACATGCCTAAGAAGGGTCTGAGATATTTCTTTTTGGCAATAACAGTATATTTTGACCACTTTGCTACTTAAATTAGGTAATATTGGTTTCACCATGGAAGTATTAAGTAAAATAGAGCACCAAAAGAGCTTAAAGATAAAATAAGAAGTTCCAAAAGGGAATATATAACTGAAGAGTATTGTCAGACATCCAAGAATTTCAATAAGCCCTGGCTAGTGTGGCTCAGTTGGTTGGGCATCATCCCATGCACCAAAAGGTTGTGGGCTCCATCCCCAATCCCCAGTAGGGGGTATGCAGGAGGCAGCCCATCGGTGTTATGCTCTCACATCCATGTTTCTCTCTCTCTCCCTCTTCCTTCCTCTCTCTCTCTAAAATTCAATTAATTACAAAGCCTGGCTTTGTATCCCATATCTGCCACTTTTTAGCTCCATGACCTCCAGCAAGGGACTTAACCTTTTAAAGTCTGGGATTCTCCATTCATGATATTTTGATAATGAAATCTAGGAGATACACTATGTAAACTGCTCCACACTTAGTAACTATCAGCCCTATTTATTCAGCT